GCATACATTATAAGTGCCTATATAAAAAGAAAAATGTCTTAAAAATACACGACATACAAGAGCAACAAATTTAGGTTTATTGAAATCATCACATGAAAAAGATTATGCAAGTACGTATTAGAAGAAAGGGTATTATGCATCGTGGTACCCTTGTAGAACAACGTATTTGCGCCCAGACTTAATTAACATTGATTGATATTGTTGTCTTTCATAATATCGATATAACTGCTAGTAGAACAAACGATACTATGTATAAGGTTTATTCGTGATAATCTAGAGGTTAAACATATATATTAATATGGGGGGCTAACTCAATGTTACACATATATTATCAGCAATGTAAACATATAGACCTTCAAAAATTCTCATTGCACGCAGACCAGAATAACCTTGAAATTAATAAAAAACTTCAGGACTGCATTTTCCGCTGTGAAAAAGTGAATCGTGTGTTAAGGACAGATACTTCTAATAAGCGAGAATGAAGAAGGGTTTAAGGTAAGTAAGAAATATATTGATAGCAGTAACATAGTTAATTAACGTTTACTCATTGCTTTTAGAGAAGGCGGGGTTTATATTCAGAGAAAGAGGTGAATCACTCGACAGCGAAACGCTTAAAGCCCAAAGAAGATTCTAAAATAGAGGCTCTGCAAGAACTTTACCAGCTCTATCCTAGCATTAATGGTCAAAGTGTATGGTTTTTTCCAACACTCAAGAAGTCTGCAGAAGGTCGTATTTTGTATAAAAAAGCAGAAAACTGTACCTATGTATATGACATTATTACGCAGAGTCGATTTTCTTCCTTTGCAGCTTGGATAAAGACACTCAGTGGCAAACGTTTTTTTAAAGGGAAAAAATCTGCATTAGCCATCATATTCTTGGAACCTAGTTGCAAGGGACCAAGTGTTGGCCGAATAATAAAAAGGAATAGCCATACGTCTTATTTTAAGAATGCGAAAAATAATTTTATTATTCACTAGTTATCGACGATGATACGCAATGACATGGAGTTTACGGGTATAACTCTAACGGAAGGTGACAGTTATTTACGTCTTACAATCACGGACAGTAGGAACCCTGCATCAAGCAAGCATCTCATGCGTCTGGTGAACGTATAAAATGCTTTATATTCGTGAATGGTTATGAAGTCAGAAACAATTTTCTAAGAGAAAGTAGTGTTAGTCATAAAATCTCAACAATCAAGAACAATTTTTCAAAAAATTGCGTGCAATGTACTAAAGGTTAGCTTCTTAATATATATCCAGAATATTTTTCCTAATACATAATTTACAATATATAGATTTAAACGAGCTTCTCATTTACATCAATATAGAACTTCAACGGTTAATAGCTTGTGTATTGTTGGAAAAAACTATTAGAATCGCATTTAAACAAATACACAACGATCAAGTCATTCTAGAATCATGGACTATACCTAATACTAAAGTAATTTAAACCCTTATACTTTTAGTCGCACAAGCTCTGCACTTTCGTTTGACAACCCACTTTTTTCATAAAAAGACTAATACGCTAACCCTTTCTGCGATTTGTTGGTTGCAAAGTCTGGCTGATTTTAATATATATAGACTAAGACTAAGACTGGCTCACATTTTTCTCGTATTCTTTTTATAAAAACTAGAAGTTTAATTTGTGCCTGCCCGGCTTCGTCGGGCAGGCTTGTTGGGATAAATTTTTAATCATAGATTGAG